GGTCGGAATAGCGCCCGTGTTGGGGAATCGCGGGGCCGCGCCCCGGGCTTCGCGGTAGCTTCCGGGTTTTTGGGGGAGGGAGGGAACGGCAACACCACAGGGTCAAACCTCACCTACCGCGCGGCCCGCGGCATGCCGGGAGGAGTAGTCTTCCGGCATTGAGCTTCCGGGCGGCCATGATTTTTTACGCGGCATGCCGGGAGCAGGAGTCTTCCGTCACTGGGTTTCCGGGCGGCCATTTTAGTCTGCACAGCATCCCGGGAGGTGTAGTGCTCCGGCACTGGGCTTCCGGGCGGCCATTTTTGTCTGCAGGGTATGCCGGGAGGTATAGTTTTCCGGAAGTTTTCCGGCTTTCCCGGCGGCCATTTTAAGCTGCGCACTGCTTTCCGCCGTGCTTACTGCGATGTCGATAAGGCAGTAGTGCACCGAGCGGATGGGCGCGCATGCGCACTCGGGTCACCATGTTTACTGCTGGCCTTCATTGTTTAAAATATAATAGTGCTCCCAGGAAGGGGGGGGGAGGGGGACGCATGAGCCTTTGTTCCGCAGGGCTCTTTGCTGCCCTCGCGTGTGGTAAAAGCAGTACTGCGCCCAGAGGCGGAGCGCATGCGCAGCATCCATGCGGTGGATACACTGCCACCGGGTGTCACGAATGCAGTATTGCACCCAGCAGGGCAGCGCATGCGCACTGGTTTCCGTCGTGCTCACTGCTGCCCGCGGCTGTCGAAAAACCAGTAGTGACGATGGGGGGAAGCATATGCGCAGTTGTTCCACAGCGCTCATGGCTGCCCTCGCATGTCAATAACGCAGTACTGCAGCTAGAGGGTCGGGCCTGCGCACTTTCCCCGCAGTTCTCACTGCCGCCCTCGGGTGCCGAAAGGCAGCACTGCACCAAGTGGGAGCGCATGCGCAGTGATTCTGCAGCGCTCACCGCTGCCTTCGAGTGTCGGAACTGTAGTAACTCAGCGTTGTGCGCATGCGCACTAGGTTTAACCGTGCTCCTGCTGCCCTGGGGTGACGATAAAGCAGTACTGCGC